CAACTTGAGTGGGGCTCACCCACTTGCTATCAGAGATGGGGTAGATGATTCCCGCATCTAGTAGCTTGATCACTTCTTTCATGACCATTTCCTTCATGTTGGGATTCAACCGACGCTACACCTCTCTAGAAGGTTTAGCGTCATCCTCCATATGAATGCGATGCATACAAATAGAAGGGTCGATTCCTTTCAAATCAGCCACTGCCCAGCCAATAGCTTCTTTGTGCTCTTGTAGTACCGCTAAAAGGCTAGTTTCTTGATCCTTTAAAAGGTCCAAAGCAATGATGACCGGAAGAGTTTTACTCGCACTAAGAAACACATACTTGAGGTGGGCCGGGAGTGGCTTTAACTCAAGTTGTGGTGGAGATTTCAAGGAAGGGACCAAAGGAGTAGTGGAAAGCTGAGGAAGTGGTTCTTTTGGCACCTTCCAAGGAGGACAATTCATGATAGCATTAATGTCAAGCAAAGAGTTTACTTCTTGGATTGATTGGTCAATATCAAAGTTTGAGAAGTCAAAGTGAGACATGCAAGTTTCCAAATGATCTTTGCTTAGAATGAAGGGAAGAGATTCTTCGACCACTTCATTTATCACATCGATGAGGAAACAATCATCCTTTTCGGAAAGATATTGTGTCGCATGGAATATGTAGAGTTTAACTTGCATATTTCCAAAGGCGATATCCATCACCCCGGTTCGGCAATTAATTGAAGCATTAGCCGTAGCTAAGAATGGCCTACCAAGGATCACGGGAATATGCTTCTTTGGGTCATGGACCGGTTCTGTGTCAAGAACCACAAAGTCTACCGAGAAGTAGAATTTGTCCACTTTGATTATGATATCTTCAAGAATGCCCCGTGGGTGCTTGACCGATCTGTCGGCGAGCTGCAAGACCACGGAGGTTGGCTTTAGATCTCCCAACCCAAGCTGTAAGTAAACTGAATATGGAATCAAATTTACACTAGCTCCTAAGTTAAGGAGGACCCTTTCTATCTTGTTGTCGCCAATGACACACGAGATAGTTGGGGCGCCCAGATCCTTATACTTTGGAGGAGCACTGTGTTGAATGATTGCACTCACATTTTCAGTTAATCTCACCTTCTTTGGCAAATGATTTTTAAAAGTGCGTTTTTGAGTGCACAAATCCTTGAGAAATTTTGCATAGAGATGGATTTGCTTTATAGCATCCAAGAGAGGCAAGTTGATCTTTACTTGCTTAAAAACTTCCCACATGTCTTGAATTTTGCAGTTCTTGTTCCCAAAATGTGTCAACTCTTAGAGACGTTTAGGAAACGGAACCTTAGGCTCATAAGACGTCTCCACATTTGGGTTGACAAGCTTAGAATTTTCAGCATTAGACTTTGGATTTTCAGGAGTGAATTTTGGATTAGAAGAGAGGAGATTTGGATTTTTGGAAGGAAGAACTTTGTCATTGTTACTTCCATCAACCTTGTTGTCCACAACTCGACCACTCCGAAGGGTAGTGATTGCTTGGACTTGTTCATGAGTAGGCCCACTCAGAGGAGGGGCTTCGTCAATCACATACATCCCTCTAGGATTTTCAAATAGTTGAGCGGGAAGCTTCCCTTTATCTCTTTGAAGAAGTTGGTTCATTGAAATGGCTATTTGCCCCACTTGATTCTCAAGTTTAGCAATAGACTGAGTATGAGAATGAACCATTTGGAGAGTGGGCTGCAATGATGACAAGAGTTGCTTGTTGGATTCCATCATTTGCTTATTTAGAGATTCCATCATTTGCTTATTTGCAGCCATAATCTCATCTGTTGGGAACACAGGAGATGGAGTAGAAAATTTGGATTATACGGAGGACGGTAACTCGAAGAGGCCTGAAATTGCCTATTTTGAAATTGAGAAGATGGCTGATTTTGCTGCCCTTGATTTTGAAATTGTGAATTTTGTGAGGCTTGTTGCCTCCACGAGAAATTCGGATGATCTCTCCATCCTGGATTGTAAGTATTAGAAAATGGATTATTTCCGGGCCTTGAGAACATCGCATTTGCTTGCTCTTGATTGGGATTAGGAAATTGTTTCGGTGGGACAATCTTCCGAGAGATGGAAAGGACTAGTGCATGATGCACACACCGCACTTGCTGAATTTTGAGACAATGAAGCACAGAGAAGTGGTGCCATCAATTGATAGAATTTATGAGTTATGGCATCAACTTGAGAAGACTCTTCCCTCATTGTCTTTGGTTGACAAGGGTTGGTGTTCTTTGTATTGGTTGAGGTTGGATCACTACGAGAATTATGTTGCAGTGAGTTTTCACTCAGATTCTCAAGTAGGGTCAATGCTTCATCTGTACTTTTAGACATAAACATCCCTCCACAAGATGAGTCAACCATGAATCTATGGGTATCGGTTAAACCAGCATAGAAGGCTTGCACCAATTGCTATTTTGGAATTAGGTGGTGCGGGCATTTCCTAAGGAGGTCTTGAAGTCTTTCCCAAGTCTCATGGAGTTGTTCCCCCTCGCTTTGTGAAAAGTTAAGAATGGAACGTCTCATTAAGTTGGTTTTACTCACTGGATAGTACTTCTTTAAGAATTCTTGTTGCAATTGAGCCCATGTAGTGATGGAATTTGCAGCAAGAGAGTTCAACCAATATTTTGCCCTTTCTTTTAAGGCGAATGGGAAGAGATGCAAATGGAGAGCATTGTCAGGGAAGCCCTTCAGCTTGATGGTAGAACAGATTTCAAGGAACTCATCAAGGTGTTGATAGGGGTCCTCATGTTCGAAGCCATGAAAGGAAGGAAGCATTTGAATTGTACTAGATTTGATCTCGTACTGGTCTGCATCGATGTTTGGCATCACTATGCAAGAGGGAGAGGCATACGTTGTAGGGATGAAATGGTCCCTAAGAGTCATAAGAGCGTTTGGAACTTCAGCCCTATTATTATTAATTCCCTCATTCCCAACATTTCCCTCATTGTTGGCCATTGTATTAATTTCAATATCAAGTCCTCTTAAAGTTTCTGATTCCTTAAGGTTTCTTCTAAGAGTTCTTTCAAATGAATTTATATCAATTGGCACTTCAAGAGTAGGCAAGGATGGTGACCTACGACCCAACATCAACTACACAATTCACAACAAATATAATATCCCTTCACCATAACATCCACATACGATGTTCCCGTTCTCCTCAATTATCAATCAAGACAGAAAAGTAAATGGCCACGACAAGGACCGATGCTTTACAATATAAACAAACTAAGTATCTCTAATTTATACACATGCAAGATATTCACAAATTGGAAACCAGGACTTCGAAAACTTACCGAGAGTCTTTTAAACTTACAAATATGCTAGCTTTCCCACGGCAGGCCTTAAGTACCTAAATTCTCACAAGAAAACTTGAAACATAAATTACTCGAAACCAACGAGAAAATATCCACAGGAACACAATATTCACAATCAAACCAAAGTTAATCCTAGAACCTCGGTTGTAAAACCGTTTGCAGTCCTCAGCAACGGCGCCAAAAAATTGATCTGTATGACAATTATACATCAACCTTTGTAATAGCACAAATCGTTGTAAAATAGGGCTATTGGTCGGGTAAGTCGAACCACTAGGACTGCTAGTTTGGCAACTAAAATACTTAGAACCACTTTTAGAATGATGAAAGGGGTGTAAAGAGGCTTGTTGGTTTGTCACGAAAATTAAGAATTGAACAATGCATAAAACAATATTGTGCTAGGAATTAAAGAGATAGAAAAATAAATAGAGAGGACTAGGGAGATGAATCCACTTCCAACCCTATTCACATGCTAGATTAAAACTAATTTGGGAAAAAGCAACATATATGATGGTCATGATATGTAGCAACACTTGGTTACTATAATATCTTCAAGAAGTTCATTAAATCAAAAAGGCAAGAATAACCTATCAAAAGTCCACATGATTAAACTACCTAAACTAAAGTGTAGCCTTAAACATGCTCACTAAGTCAAAGATTATCAAGCCATTAATTTAATAATGAATGCACATAAAGCTAGGAATCAAGCATAGACCATCAAAGGGGGAACCTAAGCCACGGATTATCAAGGTTCTCTATCTTCATGTCAATAAAACCATTCCATGAAATCATTTCCATTGTCATTATAAAAGTGCAAGTAATATGATTAAGAAAAGAAACCATCTAAGACAAGATAATCAACTCAAAATAATCATTTATATTCATTAAAATCCATTACAAGAAGTAATGTGTTCTAAATCATGGAAAAACCAAAACTATACATCATTACCCCAAAATGGAATCAAAGCTAGAACATGCTTACAAGGGAGGGCTCCATCACCTCCCTAGAGAAGGATTTAGTTACCCATAAGAACATGGAATGAAGAGATTGAGGTGCTCATCCTCTCCATTTTTGTACTTAGAGGACCCAAAATACACCAAAACTCAAGAACACTTCTTTCTCTCTCTAGAACTTTAGCCAAAATGTGAGATCTTTTCTAATACATGGTTCAAAACTCTTTTCTAACCCAAAATCCCCTCTCTCCTCCATCACTCACGAGCTCCAACCACCCTAGAAGCCCTTAGGACCACACAAATTGCAGAGGGAACAAGTTCAGCACAAAAACAAGAGCAGGTGGGCTACTCTTTGTAGGTCGGCAGGCGCCCGCGGGTGCTTGCATCCAGAGGAGCTTACTGCCATGTTTGGCGAGCGCCTGCGGTGGGGCGGCGGGAGCTCGACTTCCGCACATGCACCTCCTTTCTTTGGCCACTTTGATTGGTGTAGCGACACGGTATTTCAGTATGAATGTAATGCCACAAAATTTATACACAAGATAGCTAAAGAAACTTGGCTCCACTAACAGTCTCCAGCAGGGCTTGCTTTGGTTCTTCAAAGGATCGACAAAACCGCTTCTTTAACCATATTTAGGGAAACCAACCTGAAAGAAGACGAAAATACACAAATAAAGCAAAACTATACATTATCGTCAGCTAATGGACTTAACTAACGCAAATAAGGGTGCTTGAATATGCAATATTCGGCATTTATCAACGACAAACTCGAGAATATGAAAAAGATACTCCCTCTCAGTTACTACAATTTGCCATACTATCTGAAAATATGTTTCTTGTACTTGGGCATATTCCCAGAGGATTACAAGATTGAGCGCATGAGACTGATCCGATTGTGGATCGCGGAAGGATTTGTGGAAGTGAGAGGGGAAATGACGATGGAAGAAGTCGCTGAAAGCTACCTCAATGAGCTTATTAATAGAAGCTTGGTCCAAGTGGCAAAGATAGATGATGTTGGAAGGCGTAGAGAGTGTCGCCTCCATGACCTTTTCCACTTCAAAGTCAAGAAAACAAAATGTTGTCGCAATAGTTAGCAAAGGAAGCACAATATGGCCGGAAAAAGTTTGTCACCTATCAATCCATTATACCGTGGGGAACTTGCAGCATACAAATCGTTTTTCTCAACTTCGTTCATTGCTCATGGTCTCAGTGGCAAAACCTATATCCAAGTCATTGATGCCTATATTATTCAATGGTGGGGTTAGGTTGTTGAAGGTTTTGGACTTGAGAAGTGCTTCTTTAGAGACACTTCCAGATGAAATTGTCAAACTATTTCATCTTAGGTATTTAAGCTTGAGGGGAACAAATATTAAAATGCTTTCGAAATCCATCTCTAAGCTTGAAAACCTCGAAACTTTGGACCTCAAAGGCACCTACGTAACCGAGCTGCCTATTCAGATCCTAAAGCTCCAACAACTTCGTCATCTCTTGGTGTATCGTTGTGGTAAAGTTTATCCCATTTATGATTTATATGGTTTTAGAGCAATACCGGGAATAGAAGGTTTTTCTTCCCTCCAAAAACTTTGTTTTATTGAAGTGAACCACGGCAATGGTAGGATTGTAGTGGGAGAGCTAGGGAGACTGACACGGCTAAAGAGATTGGGGATTACGAAGTTGAGAAGGGAAGATGGGATAGCTTTGTGCTCCTCTCTTGAAAAGTTGAGCAACCTTCTCGCATTGTCTGTACGTTCTGTAGAAGAGGACGAGATCATTGACATTCAACACTTGTCTTCTCCTCCCCGGTTTCTTCAACAGCTATATTTGAAGGGACGTTTGGAAATGTTGCCGCTTTGGATAAGTCTGACACACTAGAACTATTCTTCTAATAACATTAGAGGGATGCTAACATTAGTCGCCTAATCAGTCGCGTGACGTGGCAGCATTTTATTGGTCCCTGAAGGAGTAGAAAGTGGATTGGGCTTCGTTGTAGTCAGTCCACTCTATCTAGAGCATTATTGGGCCATTGATCCACTTCAAAGACAACCCACCAGGCCCAATGATCAAAACCGCCATTCCCAAGCCCGATCTCATCAGCATTACAAGGCAGACCAGTATCCACTATGGCCCGAAGGTTAGAGCCCGCTTGATATCAGCCCAAGTTAAAGGGTGCTAATAGGGAAGTTAGGGCAAATGTACACTTCTAGGAATAGGATTGTGTGAGGAGAGCATTTTCAGGACGCTTCAGTCCCTGATTTTTACTCATTTTTATTTATTTATTTATTTATTTATTGTTTTTGCTTTTCTGTGTCGGCTTTTCTTCTCTCACCCTGTTCTCTCTCTCACTTCGTCCAAGTCGCAGACCCAAAATTCCCTTTCTTCCCCTTCACTGTATCTCACCCTGTTCTCCTTCACCTGTTAATTTCCCTTTGTAAAATTCCCCTTCAAAGCTGTGTGTTGGATCTTCATCAATTTATACTTTGTAAAGATGTAAGTTTGTGTCCAAGCTAAGACTCTTTACTCACAACCAGGTTGGGATCTATCTTCTCTCCTATTAATTTCCCTTTGTAAAATTTCTTTAGCTTTCTTAAATCTGATTTTGTGAAGTATATATATATTTGGTTAGTGTTTATGTATTTGTGCAATTATATATTCTGTAATAACTAGGAGTTGGGATACACAAGTAGGCGATATATATTTTTCCTGTATAAATAAGTTGATTTAGAAAAATATTATTAGTTTTACAAAAATTTAGTCAATCCACCATATTAATCATAAGATGGGGTTAGTGTGAGTAAATTGTACAAATCCAATTTCACAAAAATAAATATACAGTGTATATATGAAAAACTACAAATATAAATCGAACGGTTTTAATTTAATATTAGAGATAACTAATATTCAGTTGAGGAACTTACCTATATAATATCCTTTTAAGGTTGAACGTGGGCTTATTCCGTTTTTCGCTGATCGACAAACTCGAGCAACAATATTCCAAAGTTAAAAGAAATGACATATCAGGTGAGGAAATGGTGTTCTGGAGGAAGCAAATAATAAATGGCGAAAATGTCCAGGAATTATTGAGGGACACGAAAGGGAATGAAGAGGAATTTGTAAATGAAGTTGTTAGCATTGGTAAACTTCACATATTAACATAACCTCGTATGTTATAAAACCCAAAAGAGCATTAGTATATGAATATATGAGCGATGAATCTTTAGACAGGCTCATCTATAATAGTGATGGATCTTCGAGTCTAGATTGCAAAACATTGCATCAAATTGCAAATTGGCAGTTGCTCGGGGGCTACAGTAGTTTTTACAACAAGGTTACAGTAACAGAATTGTCCATTTTGATATAAAACCTCACAGCATTCATTTGGATGAAGGAGACCTCTGCAAAAAATTGCTGACGTTTATAGTTTTGCAATTTGATGCAATGTTTTGCAATCTAGACTCAAAGATCCATCTGTAGTATAGATGAACCTCTCTAAAGATCCATTGCTCATATATTCACACACTAATGCTCGTTTTTTGGGTGCATAACAAAATCCTAACAGAGTGGCGACGTTAGTATGTGAAGTTTTACTAATTCCTCATCCCCGCTTTTAATATCGAAGGATGGTACCGCTTTGGAGCCTGTAACATTAGAGTGAAAAAATTAGTTGGATTAGTAAGAGGATGTTATGAATTACAAGTGTAATATGTAATTAAAGGATTTTGAACACAAACGTAACACGAGAGAGGAACTTTGTGATGGAATAGTGAATTATTATGTAACTAGCTACACTCTAAATTTTTGTTTCATAATTGTACTTGGTAAGAAAAATACATGGATCCATCTTTTAATCACGTGCTAATATTTATGAAATATGTCTTAGTGCTTCAGCTTCACCTTCACTTTAGTGCTCCACCTTGTCATCTTTTAATCATGTGCTAATATTTAAGTCCTCACCGGTGATTCAAGCGTATTCAAACAAATCCATGAAAAAGACAATATAAATTCTTGTTTGGGGCATATAAATAAAATAAGAAAATTATTAGGCAGTATATAAATATGTTTATTTAGGAAAATATTATTAGTTATACGAAATGGATGATGATTAATGATACGAAGATGGGTTAGTGTGAGTTTAGGAAGCACGGACACTTCTACGAAAGAGTCGTACCCGTGTCGAATATCGACACTCTTCAAATACGTGTCCTTCACTTCATATACGTGTCTATAAAGAAAAAGTAATTTTATTATTTCGTACACTTCTACGAATGAGCCGTGTCCGTGTCCGTGTCCGTACTACATAGGTGTGAGTAAACTTGTTTAGGATATATATTTTTTTTTATTAATTAATTAATTGCAGGGTTTGAAGATATATAATTAAGGAAAAATTAATTTTGTACTTACTAGGCTGGCTGCTGTTTATTTATGGGCACCTCATTAAGCATACTCAAATTGAGAAGAGAGTCTCAAAAAAGGAAAAGGAGAGAAATATGTTGCGCAATGGAGGCATGTTATTGGAAGAGCTACTCCATTCATGTGATGGAAAATATAATCCGTTCCGAATTTTCTCAGCTCAAGACCTTGTAATTGCAACCGATCACTACTGTCACCAAGTTCAGGATGATGGTACTTACAAGATCCACAGGGGTTCTTCCAATGGCCGTCCAATACTTGTCAAGTCTTATTACCAAGTATTTGGATCTGGTTCTGGTATTAATGATATCGTGTTTGCATCACAGTCAAACAACCACAGCAACATACACATGCTCTTGGGCTGCTGCCTTGAAACTGAATATCCGATCCTAGTGTTTGAGTATCCAGAAAATGGACTTCTTTCTGATCATATATTTGGCGATCATCATCATCAGCTACTACCTTGGGATTGTAGGTTGAAGGTTGCCAAGGAGGTTGCTGATGCTTTGGCGTATCTCCACACTGGGTTGTCCACGCCCATCATTCACAGGCACGTAAAACCATTAAACATATATTTAGATGGAAATTATGTTGCCAAACTATCAGATTTTAGTTTGTCTATATCAATTCCTCCAGGGGGAGGAGTAGGTACAAACTACTGTGGCAGGGACTTGTGGATATGTGGCTTCAGAAGCTACTGAGAAGTGTGATGTTCTCTACGGAACGCTTTTGATTGAAATTTTGTTAGGAAAAACGGTTTATTCTTTACTAATGGAAGATATTGATTCTATTTTGGCATCATGGCCATTTCTGGAAGAGGAGGACATGCCACAACTTGATCAATGTATTATTGAGAGAGCTACAAACTATATGGGAACAGATATCCACTTTGGAAGATCAATACAAGCTTTCAATGGCATGTAGACTTGCATCCAAATGCTGTAGTGAAAATCCAGAGGAGAGGCCAACAATGACACAAGTAGCAAAAGAGATTAGAAGGATTATCAAATTTCAATCAAAAGAGATTAGAAGGATTATCAAATTTCAATCATTCTCCCCCACCGCCCATCATGCTCGTTGAATTGTGAGCTCACTTTCTCTGCTTGCTTTTTTCATCTTAAAACTGATAGAGATAGATGCCTTGAGTTTTTTAAGAAGAAGAAGAAGAATTCATTAATCCCAATAAGTGTAAGATTTTATGGCTATTTCTAGATTACGTTGAAAGGGATTTTATTTCAATTTATTATTAATATTGGGATGTGTATTAAATATGGACAAATTGAATGTTATTTACATCATTTAGAGATCTCACAAAAGACCTCTAATTGTATTGAATTGGTCATGGCGGTATTGAATCAATTTTTTGGGTTAGGTATAAATACCCACACACTTTCATAAGTGCCCCCTATGCAAACCCATCCTTAAAGAGGAGGGGAGAGATTCAAGCCCTGGGCAAAAACTGTTTGCGCCTCTTGCCAAAAAATATTTAAATAAATAAATGGGGATCGAATCGCCCACTTTCCCTTTGAGGGAGGCCAGCAGGGCTCATGGCCCAATGGTATCTTCTATGTTTCAAATTCAAGAAATCGGAAGCCATATGGCATAAAGTAGGGTGGTTCCCTCACGCCATATCCAAACATGCCTTTATATTGTGGCTTGTCATACATACTAGAAAAGTGGGGTGATTACCTCACGCCATTTCCAAACATGCCTTTCCAAATATGCCTTTATATTGTGGCTTATCATACATACAAGTTAAACTGGATACTCTTGCGTAAATTACAGCAGATGGGAATTTCTTCCTCCTCAACATGTGTATATTATTACAAAGCTCACTGTGAGGATGAAGATCCACCTGTTTTTCATCAATTTGATTCATGGCTCTGAACTCCAACCCCCAATAACATGGACAACAGATGGTTACTAGGCATTTGACAAGAATACTATCAAATTTGATATGGGTGTTTCTAAGAATGCCTTTTCTAATGGCTGTTTTTGCTCCTGGATGTTATTTGGTTTCTTTCCAGCTGGTTCTACGGGCCAATCACGAGATGCCATCCAATGGAAAAACTGAATAAAACTGACACATTTGGTTACATGAAACCTTGTGATTAGCCAGGACCACATAGTCCCGGACCACCTAATAATTTCTCCCAAAAGCACCATAGTTTATGGGACCATTTAACAATGAGGTAAAGGTAACATAGGGAGGGTCCACAACTAAAACTAAGACATCATGGTAGAAATGATAGTTTCACAAGCCTGACACACTAGAACCACTCTTCTAATAACATTCTATCAACATATTTTATTTCCTTGAAAAAGTTGCAGATTTAAACAAAAATGTCAACACTTCAATTTGGATTTTTTCATTTGTGCAATGAAAACACACTCTTAAAGCAACAAATGTGTAATAGGACATTCATATGGATGCTGCTAACCTAAAAGTATTTTCTGCAACACAAAAACTACTCACTGCAAACTCTGAAATGCTTGTCCAGTCTTTTTCCTGATTCTTCCCCATCTTCTTACCTACGACATCTCTCGGAACCTTGCAAGGGCCTTCTTCTGAATAAGTGTTCGATAACTGTCCCCAGCCTGCACCTCGAGGCTTGGATCCAACTTCTTTTGCTGACTTCCCAGCCCTGCTCTATTATCCATGGCTTTTGCTTGGACAGGCTCTGTCATGCCACTCCCATCCTTCCCTAATCCCTGGACATCAAATCAATACAGAAACAACAATTGCCCAAATGCAACGTCAGAATACTGCAATACATTGAAAAAATGCCCACCGTCCAGGTGCCCACCAATATACCATTCAAAATTCAATCGACTTGCATTACCAAATAGTAGCGAGAGACTGGAAGAATCAGAAAAAAGAAATGCAAGGGCTATTAAAAATCATAATTCCCGAGCAACAATATAAATAAAAATCTAACAAAATAATGGCCTAGAAGACGTCCCACAATGCCTACTGGATTGGTAGGACACAAGGAGTGTAATCATTATTTTTATTAGGAGAGTGACCATTTCAGTAGCATATAATAAATAAATACTCATTTGGAATGCATTGCAGATACAGAATTGGAGATGGGACATCTATCAAAAAATTTCTAGATCCATGGTGTGATGGTCAGTTCTAAGCACTTTTATTGTTGACAATCACTGGGATAGTTCCAAGTTCAGTTCAGAGGTTTTGCAGTTCATTCAGAAGTTTAGCATCTTTGGTGGTTAGACCCGCTGATCCATGGGCTGGGTTGTGCTGGAATGGTGGTAGAGCTAGATGGTCAGTTCACTCTGTTTTGGTTCTGCAGAACTCTTTCCTGACCACTACAAATTTGCAGAGGAGAGGTGTCTCTCTGCCCTCGGTACGTTATTTGTGTTTTAACCATATAAGAGTCTATGGATCACCTATTCTGTGAGTGTCCCTATGCTTGGGAGATTTGGTCTGGTCTTAATGACATGTTCAAGTGGAATATTCAGACGACAGATTCCATGGTGGTGGTTGCCAACTTGCTGTTACATCAGTTTGCTGCAAAAAGTTTCAAGAATAAACTGCACAGAATGCTTTTCACTGCCACTCTCTATTTCCTTTGGAATCAGAGAAATGGTAGAGCTCACAATTCTGTACATAGGGACCCTTGTGTCTTGCTGAGGTGCATTGTTTGGGATGTCATGGATGTCTGGGGGTATGCCTCCGGGATATCATGTAATTTCTTGTCTTTAGGGCAGCAAGGTTGCCCTTGCTTGTTATTTGGCGCATTTCTAGAGGGCCCTGTGTTTTGTGAGGGTATGCCCCTCTTTTGTATTTGTACCATATTGCGTAATTAATAATATTTTTCCATCATTTAGGGGGGGAAAAAAAACTCATTTGGAATTATATACAAGCGCAAGAGTAGGAATAATACCAAGCCCTCTTGCCAGCCCATGTTGCGGAGCATCCGGTTGCCAACATTACTCTCGTCAATCGCTTTGTCTGCTGCAATAACCTCATAACTCTGAACATTGCTATTAGCATCTCCAGCACCACGACCTCCCCCAACACCAGGGGGGAAAGGCATTGAATCCATTAAACCCCTTTTGAATGCCAAATCACGGTCTTGAAAATACAGGAATTTTGAAAACAGATTTTTCTCACAAGTTAATACAAATGTTGAGATAATTTAAAGCAAGCAATGACTATTGAGTTCATATAACTACAAAAAGCTCCTCAGCAAAATTTTGTCAGATGACGCATAGCCAAGAATATAAAACTAATGAAACCACAACGATTCTAATCTATTCAAGCCATTTTATAGATACAAAAGATGCATAAAAAAAATGAGCTCATGACAAGGAAGCAAAGGAGATGCCATTCAATGTCAAATTATTAGGGAAACTTACTCGAGTCGCCAATCCCCGGGTCAGATAGATCATCTCCAACAGAAGATGAAGAACCATATAAGCTCCTACGCTCAGCTGCACGGTCCCTATAGGTAGTCTGAGGCTGTTCCTTGTGAGCTGAACCCGGCTGCAGTGGCATCTCCGAAAACCTCCTCTTACCACTCCCAGCAGCCACAGGTGGTGTATAAGAACCCAATGCAGATGCATCTGTTCTAAAGGGCATAGCAGTTGTTGGTGCATCTGTATTTGTAGATGAAGATGAACTTGTAATGTATGCACCAGAAGACGAAGAGGTGGAAGTTCCTCCTGAAGATCCTGAATATAAAGTATCTGATCTCACCACACCTCTTCCAGAGCCCCTAATTACCCCCATTATAGTCCGTCCTGAGATGTTACTAACAGGCCTTGGCCTATCCTCAGCCTCCAACCCTACAGATTGAGCAGCAGGTGTGGTGGTTGTAAATATAGAACTGGCTGCAGTGCTCTCCTTTGTGGTCACTGCCTCGGTTTTGAACTTGCTCTTGGTGGATGGACCAGCAGAATTGGATCTTTCTTCAGCTGAAGCAGATGGCTGATTGTCATCAAGAGACACACGGGGTGCTTGCCCTTCATGACTCCGTTGCTTCCACATTGTTAGCACATTATTCATTTTCTTCTTGTTGGCCAGAATACTGCTCTTTGAAGCAAGTCTTATCTCCTTCAGCTTCTCCTTATCTTTCTTCTCTGCAGCTATTGCTGCATTGGCAGCAGCCTGGACCACATCTGGTAATGAGGCAGCCTTATCGTTTGATGTTATGGTAGCAGCTGGAGCAGAGATAACTACTTTTCTATTGTTAGAGCCATCAGATGCCTTGGAAGATTCAGTTTGTTTTCCAGATGTTTTATTGTCATTCTGATCAGTGCAGGGGACATATTGCTGAGTTTGGTGATCATATGAGTACCAGATCCCATTATTACCATCATAGTATAAACCTATAGTGCAAAAAAATGTACAAGTAAAAAAGCAACTACAATAGGAGGCATTAATATCTATAAGCTGGATCGATTTCTGAATATATTCTCTACTAGCAATAACAAGCACCATCCATAATTTAGCAGCGAAAAATATATATGAATGGATGTTACCTCTTCCCAAGCATACATTTAGAACAGATTAAAATAAATAAATAAAAATTTTAAAAACAAAAAAATTCAATTCTGATCTCCAGGTTCAACCAATTAGAGAGAGAGAGACCAGCAACTGCAGATTACTGCTAAAAGGTTCCAAAAATAAAAATACAGAATGGAGAACACTGAAAGGTCAAACAAGGTTGCATTAGCACAAGTGTGTTTCCAATCACAATATACGCATATAGGCACACACATGTAGATCCATACATAATATGAATATATAATTCACATTGTTTGCTTTTCTAGAGCGGAAGACCACTGAGAGTGATTCCTAGATCAAAATGCAAGCTTCTTACAAAGGAAAGAAACCACAACAATAGGTGTCACAGGGGTAACAATAGGCCTCTAGAGATCATTCCAAAATCATAACCACAAAACCAATAAAACATGAATTTCTCTAGCCAAATTTCTAACATACTTGAAACAAACATCAGAGGATGCAATATTTATCAGGGCAAAAAATCAGGGGAATGCAAAAAGAATAATTTCTGTGATCAAGAAATAGGAGCATTGGCGGTTAATTCTATTTAAATTCCAAATATAAAATGATCATAGCCCAAATTCTGGTGTATATATGTAATAAACAGATATTTTGCAAATATACAATTAAAAACTATGAAACAGTTATAAAATACTCATATCAACCCCGTATCTCCCAAGTGATTTAGAAAATTAACATACTAAGTCACGGGCAAATACTCTGAGGAACTCCAAAGATATGTTCTAAATTTGCTTCAATGTTCAAAATATTGCAATTCAATTCAGAAGCGCAATCACTATAACACAATTGGTTGGGAAAAGGTTCAGATGTAATAACGAGTGGAGGCAGACAGACACGTGCTCGTAGAGAGAGAGAGACAGACAGAGAGAGAATAAACCACAAGCTAACAACACTACAAGGATAAATTGGTTTCAATATTTGCTCATTGTTTAGGAATGAATGGTAGAAAGTCATGCCTCTATGTGGATAGAAGCTCCATATATTCAAGAAACCAACTTGGTATTGTAGTTAGTAACTAACTAATAAGACTAATTAACCAAAAGATTGATGATAACAACTATTTCCCTAAACCACTCTTAACATTTACTAAGCCGTAGATATTTAAAATTTAGCAGTGCAAGATTGGATAATAATTAAATACCACTTAACTCTTCTACTATGACTCACTTAACTATTCTACTATGACTTTTATCATAACCTCCCTCCTCCTTTTCCCCCCAATTTTTCAAATTCTGATTCTGCCCTTTGACATAGGTACCACCACTAAATAACTAACTAAACTAACTTTTGAAAATCTAATCAAAAGCCAAAAATAAAATACAAACTCCAGCTTTTGTGATGAAATTTGTCAATGCTAAGTTCATCCTCACAACTTCTTTTACTCTAAATATCATACCATGTTGCTTTTTTCAGTTTAGAATTCTCGTAGATTGAAATATACAAGTGCTCGAATTTGATGTATTAAAAGAATATGAATGAAATTATAATCATACAGTAATACGTATAGAAAATGACATCAATAAATAAACATAAAACATCTACAGAATGATATAAAACACTTTTTTTTAGAATACAAATGATATTTGCATTTAAATAATATTCTGCCTTACAAATAACATCTACAGCATATCGACATAATAATCCTTCACAGACCCCAAAATATGGAACAGGTACCCGTATGTCAGTTTGTTGCAGAGTTCATATTAGTTGTAAATTGGAAATTTGTCTAGATAAGGCCAACAAGCATAAAAAGGAACACCATCGACATGATTGTTACAAGTTTTATAATTACCCTTTAAGTTGCCCCATTTGAAAAGTCGAAGCAAAAGAAATGCAATCTTTCTATAATTACCCTTTAAGTTTTCAAAAATCTCATATACCGAATAATATACATATTTAAAATCAAAAGGACAACTTGGTAATTTTAAAAGGAGACAAGACTGAATTGCACCAGAAGATCTACAAATGCAACTAAGCACTTCACAAATAATCAAACAACATTGTGTGGGTTGATGGTTGTTTGATTATTCATGAAGTGCTTAGTTGACACAAGACCAGTAGTAACAAGCTATTAAGAAGGACTCTCTCCACAAAGAATAAATTTCAAAATTATGTGGGTTGACGGCCCACAAAATGTAACATATATAACATTTGCCAACAGTACTTAGAAAATGATTAAATATGTGTATTTGCCAACAGACATAGAAAATGATTAAATATCATATACAGCTTCAAGAAAATCCAAAGATAAAAACCTGTATTTCCATCATAATAGAACCCAGAAGAAGCATCATAATAATATCCAGACGCTTCATCCCACACAAAACCATCCTTTTGAACTGCAAGCTCCCCTCTGCCCTGGTCCTGCTCACCGTTGGATTGTTTGTCATTTGGATTATATTCTTTTGGCGCCCATCCAACAGCATCATACTAGAAGGATCAAAAGGAGCATATTTACTAAATCAGGTTAGTCAACCACATATAGCCTATTAGCATCTGATCGGTACCCAAAAAACGAAAAAAAAAAAGGAATATAAGACAACCACCAAGGAGAAAAAAAAGTGTGTTGTGGGTGCCTCTACTTATACATTCAACGCGCTTCTTCCCAATTTGACCATTAAAAGAAGCCTACTCTCAAAATTACATGAAAGTTCAGCACAGTAGAAGGGCTACAGTGGCTCTTATGATATAAGAATTACAAAAAAGAGAGGAATAAACTATGATAAATCCAACAAGAAGCTGCAGATGTTGCTGCAACATATGTAGTGTCTGTGTTACTACATAAAGACACCTTTTTTGCCTGATAACTGAAATGTGCACATCCCATTCCATATATATTTTAACAATTGTCGTATATTTCATACTGTTCCAAAAAGTAGACAATAAAGGGTTGCATCATATCATGGTGACAATGTGGTAAACCACATTTAGCTTAGACAATTGTTATGTACTTTGATCTTCCGAGCATCAACATCTTTTATGATTCAATTATTATATAATACACAAAGAAACTGAACAGCACCATTGGTCACCAGAGCACTGATCCTCTTGAGCAAATTTTTTCCGTGTTTTGCATAGTTTGCCAAATGTCCCTCCATATTTCTAATCACTTTTAGTTGTTTCTTCACAATCATTATTATCACCGCTCAACTCCTCTTTGCATTTGTTTGCTTACAAATTGTTACATGAGAGGATCTAGCTGCGTAGGATAGCTTTCTTTGTTCTTGCTTGTTTCAATCCAATTCTCTTTAAGGATGTGAGAGGTCCTTGGAAATCCAATCACTTCATTCTAAAAATCAGGTCAGAAATATTTCAAGGCAACCTCCTTGACTAAGAGAGAAGCAAACTCTATCCTTAAAATCAGTTTCCAATTTCCATTATTGATTTGCTCATTTAACTGTGTTTCATATCTAAAAGTCATTATCAGGTGGAGCAGTATTTACTTTCCATCTATTTTCATCCAGATATCAGGAGCAACAACTTCAGATACCAGCAAAAGTCAACAACTAGCGGCTGGCACGCATCCATGCGAATGCATGTACATATACTTTATTATGACAACAGTTTAAGACAAAACAAAAATTTGAGAAAGAAACCTTTGTTGGTTTGCAAGATAGAATTGCAAGTGAGTTAGACATGATCCACTGAATCAGTTATATAATTCATTAATTTCCTGTTATATCTTGGTATTCCTTCTCTGATTAGCGCTTGGGTTTGGGTTCAGCCAATATGATTAAGCATAAATCCACAGGGGTACTCCACACATTTAGAAGAGTCCATGTAACATAGTTTTTGGTACAATATTTCAATAGGAAAATCACCCCCCAAAACATATGATTAATTATAGGATATAACCAAGCGAGAGAAAATAAAAAACCTCATGTCTCTGCATTGACTAAGCGACATAATAAGTAAGGGGGTAGATAGAGAACCTGTTGAGCGAATGTTGCCGCTTCAATCGCAGCAGCAGCAAGACTGCTTGACTGAGGTCCTGATGCCCCAGATCCTGGTCCAAGAATGCTTTTCGCATATGCTACCCGTAGAATCTGCCCATTCTTCTCTAAAGTTGTCCCATTTGTTGCTTCAAGAGCTTTAGTAGCATCTTCCACCTGAAAGGCAATAAAACACACCAAAACATAATTTTAGCTTCAACATCTATGGTTTTCTTATTCGATAGGTTAACAAAATAATAAATCAAGATGTTTTGAGAAGGGGTAAAGACTCCTAGAGTCATCACACAGTATAAAGATATGCACAGCTTCTCTCACAAGTCATAAACATTGAACGATTTCCAAGGATAGGACCAATCATGATGATTAAATTATTCAAAACAACTGCAATGGGATGCTATCGCTCTGAACTGAGCTACCCCAATTTAATTTGAATGTTGAGGATAAGCTGGTTCTGGGTAATGGTGCTACTCAGTTCAATATAAAACGTGTTTTTGAAACCAGTAGACCATCTGCACCTGCTGTAAATTGGTACTCCCTGGTATGGTTAATAATCATGTTCCTATAATTGCTTTCATATTATGGTTAGGAGTAAAGGGTAGGATTTTACATGACAGGCTTGTAATGTGTACTTTGTAGTCTTAATTTTGAGGATAAGGCGCACTTGTTTTTCAAATGCCTGGTGATTTCTAATATATGGTCTCACATTACTGCTAAATTTCCAATTCAGTGGCCAATGCAGATGAAATCTATTCCAAGTTGGGTTTTGCAGCATCTGAGAGGCCAGAATTTAATCTCTACAGTTGGCAAATTTGTTGGCCGGTGTAGCACGCAATGCCAATCCTTGCACTGGTGGGCCCTAGTGTCGAATGCCATAAAAGGCGTGACCGACCCTCACTGCACACAAATTGGTTTTCAGATGAAATGGCACTGCCTGATCCTAAAACTGGTATCAGAGCTAGAGGTCATGGGTTCGATTTGCAGGAGTGCCATCGCATGGGGGAGGGATTGTTGGCTGGTGTAACACGCAATGCCGTTCCTTGCACTGGTGGGCCCTAGTGTCGAATGCCATAGGTGTGACGAACCCTCACTGGACTCCGATGGCATGGCCCGACCCTAAAACTGGTGTCAGAGCTAGAGATCATGGATTCGATTCGCAGGAGTGCCATCACTTGGGTCAGGGAGTGCCATCTCATCTGAAAACCAACTGGTGTCCAGTGAGGGTGGATCACGCCTTCTATGGCATTCGACGCTAGGGCCCACCCATGCAAGGAGCAGCATTGCTTGCTACATCAGCCAACATAATTGATGTTCGATGCATCTGTTTGTTCTATATGGGAAGAGAGGAACTTGAGGCTTTTTAAAAAAGATCAAAGATCTTCAGAGCAGATTCAGCTTTTTGATTCTGTAAGGTGCAGATTGTTAGGCATTAAAAGAATTAAGCTCTCTCCTCAAAATTCTTGGTTTAGAGATCAGTGGCAGTTGCCTTAGCTTTATGAGAGTTATACTTGATTAGAGTAATGTGCTCTTCTGGCTTATGTCTTTGCTGAAACTGGTGCAGTTCCTACCGTTGTGTGATTGGAGTTAAGTTTTGCTGCCGCCAAGGATGTGGAGGGCTGTTGCAATTTCAGTTTTGGTGTTGAAAAAGCTGGTTTTCTTGAGAGGACTGATATTTCCTCTTGGGTTGAAGTCGGGAATATATATGCACCTTGAAGTTTTGGTATATATTGATCATAGTTTAGGTCTGCGTCAATGATTGGCTGTGATATAAGTGGAATTTCTTTGGCTACATTTTAGAAGTTATTTGTTTGTTTGTTGCTGGTGTTGATTGTTTTGTAGGGTAGTTAGTATAGCAGTCGGTTTGTTTTTGTATGTTGAGGTGTTACCTTGTTTTGTTATGGTTCTGGGAGGTATGACTCCTTAGCTTCATGTACCATATTTTCGTTCTTTTTAATAAATTTCTTTTACATAGGAGAAACACACACACACACACATATATATATATATTATACAAAGTAACATACAGCCTGGATAAGGCGACAAACATGACATGGGAAGTAAAAAAGCTAAGTCAAATCATGGGTGACTATTTCAACTGAAATATGCCATACAGCATTAAAGTTTAGCAGATCAAACCTACCAGATCAACAAAAAGACCCAGATAAAATGCTTACACTTACAGGGATTGATCAAGCCTAATTTGGTTATAGAAGAATTGATCAAAACCTTTAAAAAAAAAAAAAAGGATTGATCAAGCCACTCAATTAATAATTATAGCATTAAAATCTATGTTACCTGGAGTCTACTGTTTCCCTGAATGTACCCACGTCCTATGTTTTACCCAAACTTGGGTAATTGTGTATCGGGTATGGGTGTGTGTCTAAGCGCATCAAGGTAACATGGATTAACTAACATATCAAAACTAATATAAATATACTTTTGCACACGTTACAGGCTCATGCACATATATATTAGAGACCCAACAATTTAGATTTCTTACCCCCACCACCAATTCAACCAAAATATTCAATACAGTATTGATGCTTACCAGATCAACAAAAATTTCCCAAATACAATGACTACAGGAAGGATTTATCAAGCCACTCAACCATTAGTTAAAACATTTACATATCAATACTTACATAATTATACCTTTCTATGTCAATTACATATTTATGCTAATTTATCAAAGACAACAATTTAGATTTTTACTTACCCCCGCAACACGGGGACACATTTAATCAGGTAAAGTTTCTCCGAACAGGAGAGAAATCGTGAGAATTGACAAGTCAAAAGGTTGCAATACTGGGATTTTAAGATTATGTGTTTTGATAATTAGTAGCTTCTTTTTTCCTTAATGTGAAACTAAATCTATTATACATCTCACCCATCCATCCCACAGCCAAGCCTAGCAGTCAATCACAACTCCAAAAATGCACCACAGGTAAACCCAAAATAGCTTGACTATGCTAAGGATTTTTCAGATAACTGACTCCAAATTAGACAAGCATGAACTACAACTTTATCATTGGATGGTGATTGCGAGTGGTTAATAGTTTGCAAAAACTGATTACCCCCAGCGGAAAACAACTATTTACTCCTGGGTTCTGGATGTCTTCTTATGGCCACTCAAATTGATATGTAATGAAACAATTATTTATTAAAAGCAGCTCCAATGCAATTTATGAAGTCAGTATGGTTCTTTTGTTTGACTAATGAAAATCAAATCAAAGTGATCTTAAGAGATCAAAAATAAAGGATAAAACAAAATCCAAAAAATGTTGACAATGAAAAAGGGAAGAGAAGGAAAAAATAGAAAAGCAGCACAACCAAAAAAAAAAAAAACAAACAAACAAACAAACAAACAAACAAAAGGAGATTGGGTGTGCAGTTTTCAAAAGTTTCCCAGAAAGCAGAAAGGTTTCTCTGCAAGTACAGAGGAGAAAGCTACCGGTATATGCAAAAGAAAGAGTCTTTATGCTGGCATTGTGGTAAAATTAGTAACTGAATCTCATAACAGTTACCACCAAATCAAATATTTATCCTCAAACTTGTTATTAATGGCTGCTTGTTGCACTAAAAGGAAGAAAACATTTGACTTATGTTAAATTCCATGCAGCCTAACCACTGATGTGAAAATATACACACTTACGCCTGTAGAATCAATGAACCAGCAGTTACAAAGATGTGCAAACCTTCATGGCACATCATAGTACAGATATAACAACTTCAAGAGAATTAAAATGAAAAATAATATCATCCAATCACAATTACCTTTACTGTGGAGAAATTCGGCTATACGACAAGTACGAAGCATGTACTGACATCAAGTTTATAGTTCATGAAGTTCTTTTTTTTTTTTTATAAGTAAAGACATATTAAAAAGCGTTCAAAAGGGGAACACACCCCTCAGAAAATACACAAGACCTAATAGGGCCTCACTCTCAAAGAGTAAAAAAAACAACAATCTCATCCATGGATTTACAATTTCTCCCAAGAACCCAACAAAAAAGAGTACTAATAATGGAGAACTTCAGCGCGTCATGAAGTTCTATACTAGCCTCTGGTTGCTGTTTAGTGATGCAATGCTTTCATAGCTTATACCTTTTTTTCTAATTCACATAGCTTCCATCAATACTTTTTTGTAGCTTCATACATCTTCACGTAACCTAAGTAAAAAAAGCTTGGAATTTCTGGAGGTCCCAAGTTTATATTAAAACTGAAACTCAAGCTTTATGCTTAGAGTCCTTGCACTAGGAAACCACAATATACATGTACATATCCACACATATGTGCTATTGTATATTCAACGTGCTCAAAGTCTACAAAATGTAACATACCGAGTGAAAGTGAACAAATGCAAATCCCCTTGAAACATGAGTAAATTTATCTCTGACAAGACGAAGATCCTGCATAATCAAAATCAGTAAATCTTCCTCGCAAAAGTGTATAGAAAAGTAGCATTCAATTAACAAGCCAGCATTTTGTACCTTAATTGGAGCATGTTTGGAAAATTCATAACGAAGCATTTCTTCATCAGCATTTTCGTCCAATCCACGGACAACTAGAACATGGGTAGGGCCTGATAATACATCAACTTAATAAATTGATCCATATTTGACTGATGCAAGCAGGAAGAAAGCAACAGAACAACTAACCTGCCTCTCCCTTCTTCCCCAATGGTGTAGGATTTGATGATGTCATATCGGCTGGTGGAGCATCATCAGTTCGTTTCTCATTACACTGCTTACATTGAGGGGAAGATATACTAGCAACTTAATATGGTTCATTGTTAAAAATTCCTTGGGTGTTATATATTTACACAAGGCTCTAATTTGCACGAAAAATTAGTCTCAGTAGATATGATGTAAATACGCATAGCTGGACAATACTTCATATTTAAAACATGAAATTCCTTATTTTACACAAAGAGTCCGTCTCATAATTTTTATGTGGAGAATGATTAGAAGGATCAAAATTATGCAACTCATATTTGAGCGCAACACGATTATAAATCAACTATGCATAGCAGAACAGCAGAGATCCAGAATGGCTACGTCTGATGAACAACTAGATACCAGATAATTGTATGTGAAAAAAGCACCAGCGAAGGAATCGGTTTGACATCAAACACACATACAAACATCCAACATGTTGTGGCACGGGTATTGGCAGACAGAATCTCAAATAAAAGAGGACATAGTGATGGTCAAATAGACCAGTTTAGAGATGCCGCACGCTTGAACTCCTTAGAATGAAATTCCAGGTGGTTGGCACAATTTATGCCATTTAGCATCCAGGATTGGGCTATTTTCCCAGTAGCGAGAGATATGTTCTTGGTTATTTTTGGCATGAGTTGGGTGTCTCCCGCTTCTACGGTTGACATGTTGGAGGCTTGGAGAGGGTGTATAGTGAAGAGCCGAGTCAGGGATGCGTGGAGAGCCACCCCCCTTTGTGTTTGGTGGGGTTTGTGTCTCGAGAGGAATAGGAGGTATTTTGATATTTGGTCTCTCAAAGACAACATACTGCCTTCTTTATTTTTTTGGGTTAATGGTGCTAAACTGCTAATTGTAAATCTTTGGAGCTTCAGAGTAGTTTGTTCAGATTTGATTGCAAATAGATTTGCAATCAAATCTGAACAAACTACTCTGAAACGTAATGCAAAAGGGGTACAGAGGGAACTAACTACCTATCCACTAAGTAAAGAACTAAATAATGGTTGTCTTTCAAATTAATCCACAAAGTAAGGAGAATTCTCTAACAAAATGACCAAAATATTAAATGACATACATTGTCATTAAAGGGACTTTTAGGTACCAAAAAGGCGCAAGGCACAGCAAGGCGCATGGTTTGTGCCTATTGCAAGCCCAGGTGGGGCAGCCTCACTGAGGCGTACGCTTTTAGGGCGCACAAGTCCCAGGATATTGACACATGAATCCAACTCGGATACCTCAATCCTTCACATGGCATAATTGAAGAAGAAGAAAAAAGTCAAATTTAATAGCAGACATTCCTTCCCTCCTATCTATGAGATAGATGGAAACCCGCTTCTTTTACAACATTCCAATTATTCTTATAAAACAGCATTTAATATTACACATAATAAGAGTAATGATAGGGAACGTGAAATAGAATACGTGAAATATCCCTGAATCTTACATGGCTATGCCACATCAGACTCAAACTACTTTTTTATTTAGAGAAAAAAAAAAGGTTTCCGAGATCAGTACAAATCAAATTCCACCCAATTTCTTCTTCTCATCAATACAATCCAAACTCCACCCAATTTCTTTTTCTCTTCATCTCGTCAGTACAATCCAAACTCCTACCCAAATAATTCACTTTTTTGGCCACCGATGTTGATCAACAGAGTTCGAATTCTCCGTCTGATCCTCACCGGCATCGCCGGCTTCCTTCTCTCCAGCGGACCTTTACTAACAGAAAATGAAAATGACTCTCCTTGAAACGAAACTGACAAGATCTTCGTTGTAGTGCTCAATAGCTTCGTCGCTACTGAAAACTCGCCAGCTTTGAACTGCGTATTAGGCTGAAACGTGATTAGCCGCCCCGAAGAAGACGAATTGGAAGAGATGGCCTTGGACGAAGTTGTTGAAGTTGAAGTCAAAGACATGTACATAGAGGCGAGTTCTCTCAAGTTAGGTCTCTGATTGCCAGCGACACCATTGTCGGCCTTAGAAGGCAATAGAGGAGACCTTCTAGGGCCTTCTACGGCTCGTACGAGTCCCAGACCCTAGGGTTCAGTCAAACACACAGTACCCACCATTATAGTTCACAACATTCACATATTTGGAGACCCTAATTTTTGCCCAAAACCAAAATCGAAGATTGTTTTTGTCAGATTTAGAGAGATAAAGAGGAAGAAAAATTATGCTAGTAAAGTGTGGATGTGGTGAGGGACTGGAGGAGGGTAGAGAAAAAAAGAGATGTTTTAAAGAGAGACTGCCGGAATTTTGAGTGTTGGGTCATGCCGGCGAGAGAGGAGAGAGGCGGTCGAGTTGCATAGGGTATGAAAAAGTGACGTGGCCTAGCCACGTAAGATTCGGGGATATTTCGCGTTCCCTACCATTACTCCACATAAAAAACATATAATGTATTTAAATGCATAGTACATGTCTATGCATCCATATCCAACTTTTGGACACACGTATGATATGTCCCATATCCTAAGATTTGGATTTGAGTACTTATCAAAAAAAAAAAAAGATTTGGATTTGAGTAAGTCTGAACTTAAAACAAACAGCCGCACCAGATATACTTACCCAAGTCCGGGTAAAAAAGGTCCCAATGCACCAGAAAGCACCAAGGTGAAACCAATTGTTTAACTTGTTTTGCTTGAACAGTTTTTTTTTAACCATTGGATCACTGCATGTGCATGATATTATGGTTCACTGCATTGCATAGATGAAAAGACCTTTTCACACTAATAAAAGAACAGAAGCACCCGGTGCTTTCAAACTGCAGAGAACTTAATGGGGTCATCATTCAAAATGGTGCGAGCCGCTACTGCTGCAGATCACACTTATCGCCAAAGGTGTCTACACCAGAGCTCAACCACTGGCAATTCATCTGACATAGCAAAGTTTTCTTCCAATTCCTCTTTCTATTTGTCTTTCTTCTTCTCATTGCCCAATTATAAACCCTAATTCTTCCCCCTTTGTAGAGTTTCTCTGTTTCTCTTTCTTTTGTCCTTCAAATTACTACTTCCACTCCTCAAAAAAATTCTGTACTCCCCTTCTTCCACTCCCCTATGCCTGTAACTCCCAAAAAAGTTTCACTGTTCAGGAATCTCTCCTTTTTTTAGGCAAAAATTCTCTCAACTTTTTGCCCCTCTCTCTCTTAATTTCAACAAAATCCCTCCCCTTTTAGTGTTTCTAATTAGCATTCTATATAGCCCATTCTTATCAGCAAAATCCCTCTGTTCACTGGATTTTTCTCTTCCTCCTACACCCCCAACCCAAAAAAAAAAAAAAACCCCCGCAATATCTTTTTCCTGATAGCATTCTTCTTCTTCCCCGCTCTGCTTTTATCCTATGCATGTTGTCATGGCATTTGATACATTTTGTATGCTTGCCTTATTTTCCATTCTTACTTTCCTATTCACTGATCGTTAATCAAAGATACACTGCATAGCTGTTAGATTTCTTTTCCCAACTGTTCAATGCCTTTCTGTGTTTTATAACTGTTATGCTTGATTATATATTACATATTTCACAATAATAAATCATTATACCATTTATTATTACAAATTTGCAATGTTGTATATATTTTGCATGTTCTTTTGAACATGCGCCTTACTTCACTCAGGCCTGAGCCTTGCCTTGTGCCTTGTAGGCTCCAAAAGACCTTGGCGCCTTAATGAACCTTGTGCCTTTAAGAACTATGACAACAAACAATATGCAATAAAAGTACAATACATATGGGGGGAAAGAGAAAACAAACCTGAAAGCAGGACGTTCGCCGCGCAAAATTGACACAGCCACAGATGGTGCACATCCAATCAGATGCCACCGTAATACTTCTATAGTTAGAATGACCCGATCTTAATGCATTGTCTGATCCAAAAGAAGACCCACCCGCCCCGCCAGTTGGCTTGCTACTGCATCAGAACCAAGTTGCAAGTTGCAATAAAAATGCATGCACGTAGAATTGCAACAAAGTACTGACAAAAACTGCATGTATACTAATGGAACCTTTACATCAAATAGAACAATAACTATTCATAAAACAGTTATATAAGATATGGTTCAAGTTTCACCCACAATAAGAGAGCCCTAAAGAGTTCCTTGATATTCCAAGAAAAAGAATTTTTTCTACAAAATCAATAAGAGAACAATACAGAGCCATCAAAATATAGAGACAATATAACATAATCCAAAACTGTCAAGATCATAAGATGGTGCGGACATTATAGTTGGGCAGATCATTAGAAACATCAGAACAAAATTATGTCATTTTATATTGTGATTATAAACTTAAAAATGGTCCCAGTTCATGCATGCACACCCCTGCAAACGCAAGTGACCTGCAGACCCAAACCTCAAGGAAGTTAAGTCCGAAAAATAGAAAGAGCAGCAAGTTCATATATCTTTATTCCAGTAACAGATGAACTATGTGAAAATTGAAAATATATATATATTCAAGACAAATATTGGTAAAAAAATGTTCTGCATTAATTTGTTTGAGTACCAACCATGCAAGCAAATGTATATACCTGTACTCAAAGAAAAGTTTCCTACCATCCACCACAAGACCATCGTCTCCAAGTTTATCCATCATTGCACGGGCAGCTCCCTGTTTCACAACAATGAGGTCCCTCGTGTGCTATTCATAAAATCAAAACATCAAACATTGACAGGACAGCGTAATGGATACCACGGAAGGAAAATCAATAAAAGCAAATCCACGAGAGATGCCAGAATTTCGCTCTTTGATAACACGGACATGGCGAAGGGGTCCCCATTCAGCCTGATGATGGAGAAAAGATGTAATAGATGAGCTAAACAATTGGCATTATAAATAAGAGTAATATGAAGTAATAAATTCACAACAGAGAGAATGGGTAAAACTGTACAAGTATCTGGTATAGATCTTCTTCAGTTGTTTTCTGTGATAGACCCTTCACAACAACAGTAGCAGATGGAGTCTGCAAGGAACCAGCACACTCTAAAACCCTTGAACTTAACAACAGTGGAAAACTATTTTGAATATGTAAAATCATATAATGAAGCATACCACAGAATAGTGATCATGCTTATGTTTGTCATCACGATCCCTTCGCCTATCATTTCCCTCATGTCTACCATCATCATAGCTGTCTTCACGATGACTCCGACCATGACTTCGACTACGGGGAGATCTTGACCTGAGGCGATCATCATGTCCACGAGATCGAGAACGCTCATGCCTTCTATATGGACTCCGATCTTTTTCCCGACTCAAACATCTCTTGTCATGCTCACGGTCACGGGATTCACGCCGCCTCCAATTACCATCCTTCTTACTACCTCTATCATAATCAGAATCATAACTATGTCTACCATAATCGTAATCTCTCTCGCGGCTATCCTCCCTACTTTGAAGAGCACGAGGTCTATAGTCATAATCATCGTGTGCATAATCATCACGGTTGCGTCCCCCAAACCTAGCAGGCCTGTCTAATCCATGATCATGGTAGTTGTCAATACTGCGGTAACTATCTCGAAACTTATCATAATCCTGAAATGTATCAATATCGCGATACTTGTCAGCTTCACGGAAAGTATCCAATTCATGATATGAATCAGTGTATGGCTTCTCATGTCGCCTAGAATCCCTCTCAAGGGGATATTCTTCTTCATAACTTCTCCTTCTTGTTTGAGGCCACAGACCAACTGTGGGAGGTGGAGGTTGATAGTTCTCCCTGTCCAATATGTCCCGGTGGAAAGCATTCCTTGGATAAATGTTATCCCTTGAGAATCTTTCATCTATAAACCTCCTATTATCGTATGAACCACCAACCCTGCCAAAAGAACATAAGACAGGACCGAAGAAGAGAAAAAAAGGTGATATAACAAAATGTGAATAATATAGAAGATCAAGAAATACAAAAAAATAATAATAATAATAAAAAAGGGTCAATTTTAGGATGTAAGAGAGATCACTCTATCATGCTATGAACAGCATAAGGACATTCATTACATATGTGTGTGTGTGTGTGTGTGTGTGTTACATGATCGCACAAAATACGTATCAGTGCAATTCACAAGCAAATATGTACAATATACATTTTAAAGAAACACTTTACCCACGAGAAACTAAATTACCCTTGTGGTGATAAGCATTGTTCATCACTCACCGGAAATTTGGCTCGTGGACTGCACCATACCCCTCCAAAGCCTGTGGATTCAAGAGAATAAGCTATGTCAGCAACTTATAATCATGGTACGAGGTAGGGAAATCCATTCCATATCCTCACTGTCCCACGGCTTTTTCTCATTGTTCTTTAAGGATGAGATGCCAGAAAAAATGGACAAACACATGACCCCTAATATCTTGTGAATCATCCCATATAGGTGTTTAAGAAGGAAACCACAATTACGCTGTTATTTTCCCATCCTTGCTGAAGACCATAGCGACCAGGATCCATTTCTTGCAAGATCCAGCAGCGTTACCCCTGCAAAGCTCTTGATGATCTTTCAGAAGTTTCAGGAGCAGTATGTTTGAAAACCTTTCCTGTAACGGATGCACAAACAGACATAGTTATGCCATCATGAATCAATAACCAATTTTCATGACTTGGCCTCCCCTTTTACTGGAATCCTCAAAAATCAAATTCTTCCCAGATACATCCACTTCAAACTCTCCTAACATATAAATTAAAGGGCCTTGATGGTAGAAACCATCAGTTAAAATCAATAATATATCTGCGAGATGAAGAGAGGTTAACAATCCCAAACAATCAGGTTAAATCTAAATGAACAACAGCTACAAAGACTTTCAATGTAATGAAAATTGTAGTACAAAGTGAGTGCACAGCTGCATGCATGACACATGGCAAGAGACAGGCACCATGTCACCAGTTGTTCTATACCACTATGGTAACACGTATGGCTTATGATGTTAAAGTAACCTAGCCTATATGCCCATTTAACTAAGTCACGAGAGTCGAATCAACTAACAAAACAATATCACAGACATTAATAAGGGTTAAAGCAATAGACCATGGTGCTAACGGTTCTTAAAAGAATATGCATATCACAAGCACCAAAACAAAATTGTGTACAATTTCTTTTATGAGTAAAAAAGTATCAATGTCAGGCAACAAAGGAAAAATAATGCATTATAGATGAGAAGTGCAAGCATATAGATAACTGAATAAAAATAACTTGATACGGATTTCTTAATATAATAGAGAAATTCATTATCAACCACATTTTCTAAACTTAGAACACAAATATTTAAATAAAATTAATAAATAACAGCTTGGCATACTATCATCAAAATTATAGACATGTAATATATACTGTTTATAGTGACAATGAGGTGGTCAGCCAATCAGTGATCATGTCTTATGCTGGCCCAGCATACTGTAATGCTGGTTGAGAAGAATAAAGGAGGATTTAATATGGACCACGAACAGCAAATCATAGATACAATGTAGCCACTGATATAGGAGGAGAATCAGATACAGAATATCACAATGTCTCAACACCAGTGTTCCACTTCCAATCTTCCATAGTCTGAATACATTCAATCACAAATCGTCTTTTAAAATCACATAACTGGAACTTTACTTGGTCAGTGTTACAACACCAGAAAGTAACCAATCGAGCACTCGATCATGTGGGGAAAAACTCAATGGTATTGTTTTTACTAAAAGGTGGGAAAAAAATTCCAATGGCACAAACAATGGGTAGTAACCTTTCCCATACCAAGCAAACAGTACATCCGAACCTTTTTCTTCCAATTGTGCGACAAGATACTTGGCGGGAGCTGCTTACCAAACGGCCTTGCTATTCCTCCCCCTTATCTTAAACTCCTGCCTCCACATCAAAATAAACACTAATATTGCACACACTGCAACCACATAACGAGAAGGTGGTAAAGGTCTCCATCAAATTCAGAAATACAAACCTAATCGACCACTCCCTACTAACTAAGTGATCCACGTAAAACATTAATTCCATACAGACATTAACAGAACAGGAAAACATTTAAGGGAACACAAGAGACACAAATCTTCAAAGGGGGAACACATGATCCTAAAAACTCCCAATTGAATAATAAAATAAAACCAACATAACATATTTCCAAATTAACTCATATTCCACCTCCCTAATAATATTAATACAACACAGCTTCTCTTACAATGGCATGAAAAAAATTAAGTTGCCATTCTTGATGGTTTAACTTCTGCCCTATTTCACAACTATCAAACAAGTATAATATATATTCTTGGAAACCCAATGAATTAGAGAGGGTTTAATCCCACTCTTTATCAAATTTAAATCTTTGTTCTTCACATGACCTCACCACATTAAATCAATACCTTCCCATTTTCAATATTCTGTTTTGAAATAACTTTATGAGAGATTCTTCATTCTCTAAGTCAATCAAATTAAAATCTCATATTTAATTTAACATAACAGTGCTAGCTTTTTCTTAAGGAAAAAAAAAAAAAAAAAACTCTGTAGTTGTTCATCATTGTAGACTACATCATAAAAATAGATCATAAAATCTCATTTTAAAAAAATATTTATTTTATATGCAGACAAAATCATTTACCTTTTATATATTATTTAAATTTTCAATTTTATTGTTTTTTTTTTTTTTAATTCTCACATGTTATACATGATATGAATTTTCATTTTGTTCATAATATAGTTTAATTTTATTCCTTAATTCATCATCAACATCATCCTTGCCTTCCCTTAATTCGTAACAAATATAACTACTAAGCCTTTTTAACAACGACATCGGCTCAAATTCACGAATAGGTTATTACTTGTGTTTGATGATCTTCAAAAATTCAATAAATATCACACAAATTCAGTAAAAACCAATCTTTATTAAATTATGTCGTAAAAATTCATGTATCAGTGCACTTTGAGCACTATGTGCGTGGTTGAAAAAAATCCACGAGTGCAGTAACCAATTCTGTTACATTACACCAATACAGACCCGATTCCGTTACACCATGACTACGAACCATGACTAAAAGTCATTGAAAACCGAATGCCTAGTAAACCAAACATACAATATCACAAAGATTGAGATATGATGCATCAGCACAAAGCTAAGGTTTTAGAGAGAGAATAAGAGGAAGGGATAGATTGCTACAAAGTGATGTATAAACAGAGAGAGAGAGAGAGAGAAATCTTGAAGTTCTGTGTTACGCCAATTATATAATTTAGGGCAAACATAAATAATTAGGGCAAAATGGCAAATATAGAAGAAGAGATCAGAAATGCATCCCACTAAGTGTTACGATACCGAACCCTAGGAAAGAAAATTTTGCTGCAGCTACGGTTGCTCACGTGAACTCATCTCAACCCAACAGGCTTTGTCTTGTGGGAATCTACGTTGTGATCTACACAAGATCACATCTCAAGAATGTTCTGCCCTCATTTGAAAGTAATCTACGTTGCATTTTCATTGAAGCTTTTGTGAATATTTGATTAAAACTTAAAAACAAATACATAAGGTTTTTTCTATAGGGGAATAAAGGCCAAACATTCTTAGATACTGTTTGAGAAAGTGTGCTGTCAGACAAGAACATGACCGTAAAAATCCCATCTGAGCTTACGAACATGGAGGAATTAACCTAGTTGCAAGTGCAGTTAAGCTATGAATAAACCTTATTCTCATTTGAGTTCTAATTGAAATAATAAACAATTAAATATACCAGAATATGAGACATAGAAAAGGTGCATCAACAGGGTCTATGCAAGCACGAATTCAAATTAACAAACTCAAATTATATATATATATATATACACAAACATAAATGGCGAAGTATGAGCGAAAGTCCATATACGAATTAGCAAACCGTTCAACACTTAAATTCAATTGTTTCCGTTGGCTACCCTCTGTCGCTTGGTAAGATCACTTTTTGTTGATGGGTTTAACCTAGATTTAAGTTTTTTTTTTTTTTTTTCTTTTCAATTTGGTCATCGTCTCAGCCCAAAACATGAGAAAGAAAGAGAGAGTCAAGGAAGTCATCTTGTGAGACGATCCAGGGTACAATTCATTAAATATTGGATATAATTGGCAGTGAGGAGCTGCCCTTGAGTTATAAGTTTTTTGAACCAAATTACCGATCTGAGAAGAGATATATATACACACACACATATATGAGGATGAGAGGGGAAGAGAAAATACAGATCTGAGAAGAGAGAATTTACCCAGTCGGTGTTCGTTGCTTTTAAGCGCCGGTCGCCGTCGGTAATGGCCGGTCGTTGCAGATGAGAGGGTGGTAGAGGGAGAGAGATGGTTAGGGCTTTCAGTTGAAAGGGGGAAGAGAGTCATGAACGCCGTTTTTAAGGCAAAGATATATTTTATTCATTTACTAGTTTTTTTTTTTTTTCTTTTTTTTTTTTTAATGCTGCAGAGTAAAAATATAAAAAACCCATAGCTGACTACATAGGCCGTGCTCTCCATTATCTTGGAAAACTTCCAGCCAACACCAACTATAACGGATGGGTTGTTTATTTAATATAAAAATTTAAGTTGTTGGGTACTTTTATATATCTATTTATTTATATTTAATTATTTTTTTATTTGAATCTGGATCCTTGTTACATTCTTTATGTTGAAAATGGGGCATTAAAAATATAAACTTTAAATGAGATTTGAAATAAATTCCGTTAAGATTTTTTTGCAGAGTTCTAGACGAGCACGTTTCTCTCCACAAGGAGATGACCGTGATATATCTACTTTCTCAAATCCATTTCTGGATGAATGCGAAATTAACTCCAAAGTGTAGTGTTTTGATAAGCCTAAATGGGTATGTAAAATGTGGGAAGTGTTTGTCCCACATGAAAAATATATATATATATATATGGAAACCAATTGAAATTTAAATAAGTCAAATTTGGGATTTTGGCTTGGGCTTGGGCCTAATTGTAAAGTCCGATTATTTTTTTTGCTACATGAAATTTTTTATTATGCCTTTCTTTTTGGGTTAGGCTTATTTAAATGGGTGGTTGTGATACCTCTCGGATCCGAGACACGGGTTGATCAGGCCCAAGCCCAAACCCAAGGGAATATAAAACAATTAATATTTTAAAACGAATACAGAATATAAAAAAAAAATTAAGAATTAAAATAAAAGCTGAATGAATTCTAAAAATAAAATCCTTTAAAATTAAAACTTAAAATAAAAAACCTCCAATATTTAGACAACTCGGAAATCCATCCATTGGACCCCTAATGCGAAAATCCAAATTGAAGTAAAAATAATTAAAAGAACATCCGAAATGAAACCATGGAAAGAAGTCCTACGTCGTCGTAAGAGTGAGTAATAGTCTCTGCTCAGCACGATCAGGTCTAAGTCTGGAACTGGCGAATACCTGAAAAATAGAAGTGGGTCAAGCCCACGAACAAGTTCTATCCTACTACAATTCAAGCAGAGACTCGATACGCATATACATCCTAAGCAATTCAATAATAGCTAATAGTTCATACATAAGTATATCCACAGTACAGGACTCTCACTGGACTATGGAGAGGGTCTCAACCTGAATAGAAGGCAACATACGAAAATGCATTCAAAGGTGGGCATGAGTACCTAGACCTAACAGGGTATACCTCAACTAACATAGCCAGCTACGCATCCTACTGCATATACACTCCCTAACCGACGACTTTGAGACTCAAGCTCATATCGCGGTATTATAAAAATATATTTAAAGTCTGATCATTTACATCCATAAGAAATCCAGTTAGTCATTCAGCTTATTCAGCCGCACAAACTACATATAAGTAGGATTTTATGTTAATAATCCGTTTCCTTATTCCGATATAGGTAGGACTTAGCAATTTGAGCTAAATCATCCCTAATATGCCATCATTCCATACCGGTGCATACAATCCAATCCATCCAGCAGTTGATAGCATAAATAATAAATGTAAGTATCAATTAATGCATGAATCCCACAATTGATAACAAAAATATGAAATGAAAGCATCAATTGTTCCATAAGTCCATCACAAGTATAACAAGAATATGTATATAACATGCTTGTTCTGTACTACCGATACATGATTCTCCAATGAGTTAAAAAATATAGAGAATAGGTGTAATACATTCGTTAATCCACTATAAGCATAATAATAATAATATCAGAATTAACATGCCCACTCAAAACCATTCCACAATATCCAGTAAGTTGATAAGACACAAGATTTTATAGTTATCAACTAAATTTCCATTAAGCATAACAGAGATTATAATAATTGGCATGCTATTTTTTATACCACTGCGACATAATTTAAACCATAAAATCCCTAAATCAATTGCTAATTTAAAAAAATGAGCATCTTGAATCATTCGCATCCAAGCCAAAATGCAACTTCCTGAAAAGTTTCCTATTACTTCCTACATTAGCTTCCTATGGTATATTATGTATTATCACGCCTCCTGAAACTTTAATAAAGGTTTAGACATTACTGAACACCCCCAGAATAACTCCTATTTCAACCTGGAACTTTAAGAATCCAACCCCAATAGCCCAGGTCTCACAAAGAAAAGAAAAAAAAAAACTGAAAAATCACGAAGGAGCCGGCTCCCTCAAAGAGGGAGCCACCTCCAAACAAGATGGAGCCGGCTCCAAGCAAGTTGGAGCCGGCCTTTTTGTGAAAGAGAGCATGCTCTCTTCAACTGAGAGCCGGCTCTACCTGTTTCGTCTCCGATGAATTCCATTGATTCCGTCCCTCTCTATTACAGTCTCTAATGGTTTTTATTAGACTTAACCAGAAAAGACTTATCCAACTCATTTATGCATTAATTAACAGCAATTTAAACAAGCAGATACACAGTCGAACACAAAGGCTAACAATTTACAATTCGTTTCAACACATATTGCTTTAATAAGAGTTAACATACATAATCAATTAATTCTTACGTTTAATGATCCTTGGAACTGCTTTAGGCATGTAAAGAACACGAGTAAAAGGGAAAGAGTTAGGATTAGAACTTGCCTTTAGGTCTCAATCCGAAACCTTACGTTGTTGTCTTCCTAAATTCTCCGATGAACATTCTGTTTTCCCTTTCTATTTTCTCCAAGACTTCTCTAAACGTCTTTCTGCCTTCACTATGTCGTGAATAGGGTTCTAAAACCCTAGGCAGACCCCTAATGACGTATTTATAAGCCACCCTTAGACCTAAACCTAAGTGTAATATAATACAGAGAACTAAGTCGGCTAAATTAATACGAAAAACCCTAAACTAATCCCATTGACGTATTTCACAATTTAACAATTATAATAAACCAATTAATACCTTATGTAATACCCCTAATTCTCAAAAGGATATAACTGAAATTTATTTATTTATTTTATGTGTATTTTAATTGATTATTTGATTTGTGTGCATTTAAATATGATTATCTTGCTATGTGTTTAATGGTTTTATTTGCTTAATTGATAATTGTGTCTGTTTAAATTAATTGTAATTATTTTTAATTTAATTATTGGTTAATTTAATTATTTGATTATAAGTGACTTAATTGACGTGCATTTTTGGTAGCTTATATAATTCATGTGTGTAGTTTTTATAGTTTAGGTTTAGGGTTTTATTTTCATGTAGTCGCCGACTTAAATTAGGTTTTAATTAAAGCTTATGAATATACGGTTATGATTTGACTTAAGGTTGGAACGCCTATATAGATATTCTTGTATACGTCTGCTAGGGTTAGAAAACCCTATTCACGTAATAGTGTCTTGAGAGGAAAAACAGAAAAGGTCCAGAGAGGAAAGCAGGGATGGTTTTGAGAGAAACATAGAGAGGCTCAAGGAGGAAGAAAAGGGGTTGCTTCTGGATGGAACCAAGAGCAACGGAGGTGTTGAACGGCAATCGGTAATCTGTCGGAAAATACAGAGACGGTGGTTTAGGTTTCAAAGCAAAAACCGAAGGCAAGTTTCATTCTATCTCCTTCCTGTAAACTTGTGTTCTGTGCATTCTATATAGTCTCCAGGGATTAATTCAACTTTAAAACTGATGGTTGATGCATGTTATATCGGACTGTAACTTGTTTACGTTTAAATAACTGAATTAGGTTTCTTGTATAAACTGTGTTGTTTTGATTTAAACTTTTGTCAATAAATTCAAAATAGAATTTGAGGAGTTTCTAGGACTGTTGGGACTTATATTGAACCTTAAGAACTTTAAGAAAATTTGGAACAGAGGATTGAACTTCGCCAGAAGCGAAGAAGAAGATAAACAGATAAAGCATAAACTATTTCGATCATGGTTTAAGCTTTTGTCAATTAATTCATACTGGAATTGGAGAGGTTTCTAGGATTGTTAGGACTTAATTTGAACCTTAAAAATCTTTAACAAAAGTGGGACAGAGGACTGAAACTTTGTCGGAAGGGAAGAAGGTAAGCAGAGGAAGTGGAGAAGGAAAAACGGAGGCTGGGTGAGTAGAGGTGGCTCCATTGAAGTGGAGCCAGCTCCACAAGGTGTTGAGGTGGCTCCAATGTGGGTGGAGCCAGCTCAACCTGAAATTAAAGGCGGCTCATCTTTTGTAATTGCCCAGAAATTATTTTCGGGTAATTTTCTGAGTCTAGGGGCTTAAATGGAATTTCTGAAAAATGTTGTGGGGTTTTAAATGTTTAAAACTAACTTGTTAAAGCCTTAAAATAGTTGGTTTATGCTAAGGTGCTAATCCTAAGGGGCATCATGAAACATAAACAAATAATAGGCTTATTGTCAAGGAAGGAAGGAGGAATGTGTAAATCGCTAATTTGTTTTAGCAACTTGAACGGACTGGTGTTAATTATTTCTGGGATGTTATATAAATGATATATATATAATTCAATGAAGGCCAGAAATGTTGGTTTAGGATGTGGTTATAGAAATCATGAACTTTAGGTACTAAATTGCGTGCTGTCAGGAGTTGAGGAAGTTTCCCTCGCTGGTTGTGTTTTAACCAAGTTAAAAATGTGCAGTTTAGGCTTCTGAGTGTCATTATACCATGCACAGGTTTTATAATTGGAGATTAAATGGACGTCATGGGATTTAAAGATTAATTTACATGCCGTCAAGGATTGAGAAGGTTTTAAATGCTAGTCTTCGTTTTATCAATGCGAATGAACCAGTAGGGAAGAATTGGTTAGGAATTCTAATATAATGTTACTCAGTTTATAATTCTGATAATCATTATACCATGCTATGGATGTTAATTGATGAACTGTTTAGTTTCAGTTTTATCAATTGTATGGATGTGGATAATATAAATTGTTTGTCATTACTTTAACAATTTATTTTGAGGATTTATGATTATAATCATATACTAGATGCATGATGGGATCTTAATAATATCTGTTTTTTATTATGCTGGTTTTTGGATATATTTGATGTTATAATGAATGTGCATTATTTATGAATCATTTGCATTATATGTACCGGTATGGGACGGTGACATATCAGGGATGGATTAGATCAAAAAGCTAAGTCCTACCCCTTCATACATACAGAATGGATTAACTAAAACAGTTAAATCCTACATGGATGTATGTCCTGTCAACTAAAACAGTTGAACGACATAATGGATATTTATTTTATCTTTTTGCACTAGGAATGAATTTATATATATACTCATGGTACTGTGATATGAGCCTGAGTCTTCTGATCACGGTTAGGGTGCGTATATCGCTTAGGATTGATAACCAGGCCTGATGATGTTTCCCTGATTGTTCTACTCGGGTTGAGATGGATTAGGTGGGCTGGTGAACGTCCTATAGTGTGTACTTATATATATATGGACTACTTTAGCTATTGTTGAGCTATCTAGGATGTATCTGCGTATCGGGTTTATGTATGGATTGTAGTAGTATGGAACTTACATGTGGGCCTGACCCACCCTTATTTTTCAGGTGTTCGACAGTACCACGCTTAGAGCTTGTTCGTTGTGATGCAGATACAGTCACTTACTCTTCCAACTAAATAGAATTTTCTTTTTTGATTTTAGTTTTGGATTTTATTTCTGTAAAGTTTTATCATTTGGGATTATTAGGGGTCTACTAGTTGGATTCTCGAGTTGTACGGATTTAAATGATTTAAATAATATTAATTTATTATTTAAAGTTTGAGGATTTTTATTTTAGAATTCTTTCAGCGTATTATTAATTTATTCTTATTTCAGTTTGTATTCCTGCTTGTTTATATATTGATTATTTGGTATCCCTCAGATCTGTACTCGGACTTGATCACCCGTGGCTCTAGAATCGAGGGGTATCACACCTTAACTAACACATATTACAATTAATTCAATTACTAAATTTTACTAAAGAAAACAATTAAATCAAATACATAAATAATTGAAATAAATTCTATTAAATAAAACAATTAAATCAAATAATTAAATAAAACAAATATTACAATTAACTTAATTAATTAACAACAATTAAAACCACCAAACAATTAGCCAACTAAACACATATAAACAATTAAACAATTAAAAAAAACGCACGTAAATAATTTAGTAAAATACCAGGACTATCATTTTTAAAATTAGGGGTATTACAGTGGTTGGTTTTTGAATTTAAATTAAAAGTTAGTTTTTTTTTTTAATTTGTCATATGGTTTTAGAATAAATGAGTGTGATAAATGTGTTTATGTGAAAACACTCTAAATGGATATGTCATTGTGTGCCTATATGTGGATGATATGCTATTAATGGGTAGTAATGATGTTATAATCAAAACTAGTAAAAATATGTTGACTAAAAATTTCGATACGAAAGATTTAGGCATAGCTAATGTCATACTAGGAATCAAGATTTCTAGAACATCAAATAGTCTAGTATTATCTCAATCTCACTATATTGAGAAAATATTAGACAAGTATAATAAAGAAGATAGTAGTCTTGTAAAGACTCCTGTTGATGTAAATCTTTATTTATCGAAAAATACTAGTCCTAACATATCACAACTTGAGTATTCTCGCATTATATGAAGCTTAATGTACTTGATGAATTGCACACGACCAGACATAACATACTCAAATAATAAATTGAGTAGATATACAGGTAATCTAGGAAATAACCATTGGACTGCAATAATCAGGGTTTTAAGGTATTTAAGATATACCATAAGTTATGGATTACATTATTCTAGATATCTAACAGTACTTGAAGGATACAGTGATGCTAATTGGATATCAGATACGAAGGATTCTAAATCCACAAGTGATTATGTCTTTACTATTGGAGGAGGTGCCATATCTTGGAAATCTTCAAAACAAACTTGTATTGCTAAATCCACTATGGAATCTGAATTTATTATTTTGGATAAGGCTGGTGAAGAAGCTGAGTGGCTTCGTAATTTCTTCGAAGATATTCCAAATTGGCCTAAACCTATGCCCGCTATATGTATACATTGCAATAGTCAATCAGTAATTGGAAGGGCACAGAGTAATATGTGTAACGGTAAGTCTTGACAAATACGTCGACGACATAATACCGTTAGACAATTGTTCTCAAGTGGGATAATCTCAATAGATTATATCAGGTCAAAAAATAATTTAGCAGATCCGTTTACAAAAGGTTTGACAAGAGAGCAAGTGTATAATTTATCGAGGGGAATGGGATTAAAGTCGAAAGCTAACGAGTCATCTTAATGGAAACCCAACCTAGTTGACTGGAGATCCCAAAATCTAGGTTCAAAGGAACAACAGAAATTCTGAATGGCTCACCAGAAGCACTGGGAAGATTTAATCTTCTACCCATTTCTATGGTGAGACAGTGCTACCTACAGCGATGAGTAGGATAAACTATAATTTTAATGACTCTTATAACTTGAAAATTTAAGTGGGGTATAGTAGGATACTCTTAATAAGAAGTCACCTATATGAGTGTGAGGATACCAGAAGGAATATGGGCCGGATATGATCTGCGGACATGGCATCGAGTCAAACAATTGAATTCAGCCCATACAGGAGCACCGCAGAATGGGCCGAACCCGGAAGATCCATCGAAGAAGGCTAAGCCCATTGGAAAGAAGGCCCAAACCTGATAGTCCAGCAGCATTTGTAATTACCTATAAAAAGGCAGTGAAGAGAGTGAAAGAGGGAAGAAGATTTTTTATTTTTTATTTTTTATAATTGAAAATGTAATGAGAGAGAAAAAATTATTTGCATCTTCAATTGGCGCCGTCTGTGGGAAACGATGAAGAACATTCATTCATGCTTGATCGATGTCATGTTAATTCAAACTGATCCGTGAAGATGAAGCAAGATTTCTAGAAATTAAGTCCAGATCGGAGAGATTGCAGTTTTTTCTGAAGGAATTCTTGATTACTGTTGGTTTAGACGTGTTTGCGTTGGAATTACGCAGCTGAGATTTGCTTGATCGCAGCTAGATCCGGTGAGTTAGAAGCTAGAAAAGCTCAGATATAGCGAACTGCGATCGCGATTCGGTGAATTTGAGTCCAGATCCAACGAGATTTGCATCAGTAAAGCTCAGATCTGATTAAAATCTTGTGATTTATGCCTTTGTTTCGATAACGCGAGAGCTCTAATCCGGTGGAGAATGTCCAGCAGATGAAGCTTGATGAGTTGATGAACATGATCGAAGTTCTCAGGAAAGAGAATGTAGAGCTGAAAACTAAAATGCAGCGCTAAGAAGCTCCGGTGATTCTGCAATCGCTTCCGGCGGGTGAGGAGGTTATACATCCTGTTGTCGCGCGTCAAGGTGAGGAGGAAGAAAACAATCTGACAAATCCTCGTCACGAGGAGGTTAAGCCGGATGATTTGCCGCCAAATCCTTGTCGTTTTGATGATCGAGAAGGCTCAATTCACTTAGATCCACGGCGAAAGTAGATCAGGCAGAACAAGGCAATGACTTTTAGTCCATATCAGGAGAGGTTCAACTGAGAAAAAGCTGTGGAGTTAGGACACCAGAAAACTACACTGATCTGGCAGAAGGAATACATGGAGGAAAGATCATCCGATTCGCTTTATCGACTTTCAATGGCTACATTAGACTACCAAAGCTCAGAAAGGAGATCTACGGATCAGAGAGTTGCTGCAAGGTTCCACAGAGAGAATGAGGCCCTTCGTTCAGCAGCTCGGACGGTTGACTTGCCATTTACCGATGAAATTCTGAATGCTCCGAGTCCGAGGAAATTCTGCATGCCAGTTTTCATCCTGTTTGACGGAACGACTGATCCGATCGATCATGTGTATCATATCCAATTGAAAATGGCACTGAACACGAAGAACAACTCCTTAATGTGCAAATGTTTCCCAACAAGCTTGGCTGGACCATAGCTTAATTGGTTCAAAAACTTACCGAGGGGATCGATTGATAGTTTCCGAAGCCTTTGCGATCGGTTCATCAGCCAGTACTATGGGAATAAATGCCCGGTAAAAGATGTCTCCAGTCTGTTCACGATGCGGTAGCATGAAGATGAACGCCTCCAAACCTTTCTTACCAGATTCAATTTAACCAAGAGCATGGTGATCGAGTGCCATCCATCTACGGCGGTTCAAGCATTCAAGCTGGCCATGATTCGTGGGACTTCGTTCCACACAAGTCTAGTGGTGAACACGCCGCAGACCATGGACGAGCTAAACGAAAAAGCTGATGGATTTGTCCGTTTGGAAGAGGAAGAGGCAGCCAATGCAAGGAAAACGTCAATTATTTCAACGGAGGAAAAGTCCAAAGCCAAGATCAGGCAAAAACCAGCTCCATCGCAGCGTCAGATCCCTTGGACAGCAGAAAAAAGGCCCAGGGAAGAGGAATTGGTCACTCCATTGAAAGTAACCCTAGCAAGACTGTACCAAGAAAACAAAGATAAGTTCCGACCTCCTTTACCTATTAGACAACCCCTGGAGCAGAGAGATAAGTCTAAGCATTGCGCTTTCCATTTTGATTTTGGCCATCAGACTAACGAATGTAGGAACTTAAGGAGGCAGGTGGAGATGTTGATAACCAGAGGAGAGCTCGCAAGTTATATTTAAGGCCCAGCGGTAGAGCAGAGCCGACCGAAGGAGTAAGTGAAGAGAAATCAGAAGCTGAAATCCCACAACTCGCAACCAGTTCGAATAATCAATGCAATTCATGGCCGGCCTGAACATGATGAGTCAGATGAACTGCTTCGAACACGGCTCCGCCAGGCGCAGATAAAGAGGAGGATAGGCAGTGTAAACACTCTGCACCAACAGATCGCATCAACACAAATAAAGTTTGACAGAATAGATCTATTGCGTGTTCAGATCCCTCATGAGGACCCGTTAGTCGTCAGTTTGACAGTGGCCAAATGTTTGGTTCGCAGAGTTCTGATTGATCTTGGAAGTAGTGCAAACGTCATGCCGAAGGACACATTTGATCAGCTTGAGATCAAGCCAGACCGGCTCAAGCCCACTAGGAATCCTTTGCTAGGGTTTGATGGAAAACGAGTGGAGCCCATCGGTACAGTGGAAGTAGTAGTGCATGCTGTAGAGAGGGTTCTGATAGAGAGTTTTGTCGTTGTCGAGATTCATTCCTCTTACAACCTTCTAATGGGCAAAGGGTGGATCCACAGAGTTTAAGGTGTTCCTTCCACTCTGCACCAAGTAATGAGATGCCTGGGGCCAGACAGAACCAAGGTGATTGACATTCATGGGGACCAGGTTGCAGCTAAGGAATGTTATTCAGTAACGCTGAAGTATGCTGGAAAAGGGAAAGCACCCATCCGTTCGGCAAGCCCGAGATAGCAATTACAGGAGCCTCCCCCCAAGCAGAATGGGGAGGAAGAGCCAATGGACTTGACCGAAGAACCCCTAGTTGATGTACAGATCGATCAATTCCGACCAGAACGAACAACCGGAGTGGGGGTACGACTTGCTGAGGAGGAGAAATAGGAGTTGGTTGATTTCTTGTCTCAGAACGCCGATGTATTTGCATGGAGCCACCTAGACATGCTTGGAATCAATCCTTCCGTATCCTGTCACGCCGATGTATTCTATCCTGACTGATTGTCAAACATTGTTATTGTGCAGAAGAAGAATGGGAAATGGTGAGTGTGCATTGATTTCACCAATTTGAATGAAGCCTGTCCGAAGGATAGCTTTCCGCTGCCAAAAATTGATCAAATGGTGGATGCTACTACTGGGTATGAGCACTTAACCTTTTTAGATACTTATTCAGGTTATAATCAGATCCCCATGGACTCTGCTGATGAAGAGAAAACTTCTTTTGTTATCGAGCGTGGGACTTATTGCTACAAAGTTATGCCGTTCGGACTGAAGAACGCCGGAGCAGCTTACCAAAGGCTTATTAGCAAAATTTTCAAGGGTCAAATAGGGAAGACCGTGGAAGCTTACATTGATGACATGGTAATAAAAAGTAAGAAGAAAGTTGACCATCTAAAACATCTACAAGACGTATTTGATGTGTTGAAACAATATGGAATGAAGCTTAATCCAACCAAGTGCTCATTCTGGTCAATTCCTAGGACACTTGGTTAATCATAGAGGCATAGAAGCTAGCCTTGCCCAAGCAGAAGCTCTGACTAAGAATGCCGAGCTGAAGACAATCAAAGAAGTGCAAACACTTACGGGACGGATCGCTGCATTGAGCCGGTTCATTTTCAAATTATTAGATCGCTGCAAACCATTTTTTGACACAATACGAAGCCATGGGAGACAAGTTTGGGGGGATGAACAGCGCCGAGCATTAACTGGTTTGAAAGAATATATGCAGAACCTTTCGGTCCTGTTAGCTCCGGAACCAGGAGAGAAGCTATTTTTATACCTCGGGGTATCCAGCATCGCGACAAGTGGCGTTTTGATCCGTTGTAAAGAGGGGAAGCAATATCCAGTGTTTTATGTTAGCAAAACGATGACTGAGGCCGAACGACGTTATTCAAAGGCCGAGCGGGTGATACTCTCGCTAGTACATGCGAAAAGAAAACTCAGGCATTATTTTGAATCTCATCCTATCATCGTTCTAACCACTTTCCTTATCAGAATAATCCTGCACAAGCCAGACCTCTTAGGGAGGATGACGAAGTGGGCCATAGAGTTAAGCTCATTTAACATAACATATGAACCCAGAATGGTAGTCAAAGGGCAAGCAGTGGCAGATTTTTTACTAGAATGTGATTCAGAAGACATGGAGGAAGACCTTCGTGGTTGCTTGTGGAAACTCTTTGTCGATGGATCCTCAAATCAGATGGGGGCAGGCATTGGAGTCAAACTGCAGACACCAGAAGGCACGTCCCTAAGTCAAGCACTCCGGCTTGAATTCAGAGCCACCAACAATGAAGCGGAGTATGAGGCACTGCTGGCAGGACTTAAGCTCGCCAAAGAGCTAAAGGTCAGGAATTTGACTGTCTTTAGTGATTCGCAGTTAATTGTTCGGCAGGTGAATGACGAATATGAAACCAAGGATGAAACGATGGAAGTATATCATTCTGCTGTTATGCGGGAAGCCAAAAACTTTGAAAAAATTGAATTCATCCAAATACCGTGAGAGCATAACGAAATTGCCGATCGGCTAGCATGTAGCGCCTCGGGTTCTGGAGAAACATTGGCAAGGGTGATTCCAGTAGGAATACTGAACCAGCCATCCATTTTTGAAGAACCTTCGGGCCCAGATCCTTGGCAAGTGAATGTTATTCCATATAAGCCAAGTTGGATTGATCCGATCACAACTTACATTCGGGATGGTACTCTGCCTGAGCAAAGAGATGAGGCTAGGAAAATCAAATCGAACGCTGCAAAGTACGCCATAGTGTATAACCAGTTATGCAGGAGGTCTTTTTCTGGGTCGTACTTAAAGTGCGTCACCCCCACAGAGGCTCGGCAGATACTGCGAGCTATTCATGAAGGTGTGTGTGGAAATCATTCAAGGGAAAGATCTTTAGCGCACAAAGCAATGACGTAAGGGTACTTCTGGCCGAACATGTCACGAGATGCGGAAGAATTCTCCAGAGGGTGCGATAAGTGCCAAAGGTTCGGACCATTGATCCACCAAACACCTGAGGACTTGTATGTAATGGCCACACCATGGCCTTCCGCACAATGGGGGATGGATGTGGTTGCTCTTCTGCTAACTGCAAGAGCTCAAAACAAGTATGTATTGTTGGCAACAGATTACTTTACCTAATTAGTAGAAGCAGAGCCATATTCGAGCGTAACGCAAACTCATGTAAGACGCTTCATCTGGAGTAATATTATTTACCGTTTTGGTGTCCCGAGGTCAATCGTTATGGATAATGGGACTAATCTCGACAGCAAGCAAGTCAGAGAATTGCTGGAAGAATATGGAATCAACCAAAAATTGGCAACAGTAAGTCATCCCCAGGCCAATGGACAAGCAGAAATTGCGAATAGAACAATTTTCGCTTGTATCAAGAAGAAGCTGGAAGACCATAAAGGTAAGTGGTTGGACGAACTCCCGAACGTCCTATGGGCTTACAGAACGACCCCTAGACGGCCGATCAGGGAAAGCCCATTCGCTATGTCATACGGAACCGAGGCAGTCATACCGGTTGAATATTTGGTTCCGACTGTCCGAAGCTTAGTATGGAATCAGGAACAGAATGACAAAATGCTGAGATTTAACCTTGATATGTCAGAAGAAAAGAGAGATGTTGCGGCAATAAGGCTTACATCCTATCAGCAGACACTGGCTAGCAGCCACAACAAAAGGGTGAAGCACAGAGATTTCGCAGTTGGCGATCTGGTTCTGAAAAAGAAGGTAGGAATGGTGAAAAAGATGATGTCACCTTGGGAAGGATCATACAGAATTGCAGAGGTCATAGGGAAGGGGGCATATGTACTAGAGACCATAGCCGGAAGATTGGTTAACAAGCCATGGAATGATACATCTTTAAAAATGTATTATATGTAGAAAGTTTAAAGTTCTAATTCTGGCATTACTCATTTTCAGTTGTACAAAATTCTAAAATTTATAAAAAGCTATCTTTTTCTAAAAAGTTGAGTTTATGGAAACAACAAAGTAAGTGGCAGCTGGCACTATGAGCCGAACGCCAAAAACTTGCCAAAAAATAAAATAAAAGAGTGAAAGTGGCAAGTGGCATTCTAGCCGAGCGCCAACCACTCAGCAAAGTAAGTGACAGCTGGCACTATGAGCCGAACGCCAAAAATTTGCACAAAAAAAATAAAATAAAATAAAATAAAAGAGTGAAAGTGGCAAGTGGCATTTTAGCTGAGCGTCAACCATTCAGCAAAGTAAGTGGCAGCTGGCACTATGAGCCGAACGCCAAAAAAATATATATATAAAAGAGTAAAAGTAGCAAGTGGCATTCTAGCGGAGCGCCAACCACTCAGCAAAGTAAGTGGTAGCTGGTACTATAAGCCGAACGCCAAAAACTTGCACAAAAAAAAAATAAAAGAGTGAAAGTGGCAAGTGGCATTCTAGCCGAGCGCCAACCACTCAGCAAAGTAAATGGCAGCTGGCACTATGAGCCGAACGCCAAAAATTTGCACCAGAAAAAAAAAATTTGTTATGTGGTAAAGTGGCACACGAGCCGAATGCCAGCCACTGACATACAGAGAAGAACCAGATCAGATAACATTAAATCGTTAAGTCAAGGGATTTATGGCAAGAGTTCAATCAAAAGTCAGCCATCTCATTAATAATGAAGTTTCAGAGTTACAAAAAATGAGGTATACAGATGACAAAAATGCAAAAGGAATGAGGTCAGTACATCAGAAAGGTTCTAACTAGAAGCATTTGTCCTGTCAACTTCTTGATGGTGCTGAACGGTCCCTTTATCACTGTTGGCATTACCGTCCTCACAGGGAGGAGAATCGAGCTAAATGACAGAATCATTCTGCTGAGTTCTATCCTTAATAACATTGGAAGAATCATTTTGCCGAGGGTCATCCTCAGCAGCAGTGACGGATGGAGTCACAGTGGACAGAGGAAGAACATCCAGAGGTTGAGCAGCAGAAGTAGTAGGAATGATCCTGGAAGAGGCGATCTCTTGGCATTCATCAAATATGCCCTCAGCAGGGGTGGAATCTGGGTCGGCATAAACACCCGGAGGATCAATCTCCAGCTCTCTGTCAACCTCATCAGGGGTAGAACCGGTCTGACCTTCATCTGGAACACGATCGATATAACCCTCTCGGAACCCCTAAGCATATCTGAGGGCCCCAACCCTGGAAAACCGAGCGTGCAGAGCTAGCATACCACCATTTACCTTACTGATGGTGTTGAGTAAAGCATTACGCTCGTCTAGAGCCTTTTTCTCAAAGGCCATCCGAGCGGATTGCTCATCACTCAGAAGGCGTAGAAGTTCTTTCTTCTCAGCCTTAACAGATTCTCGCTCGGTATGCCAGACACTCTTCTCAAGTTTCAGAGCGTTCTTTTCGTCCTGAAGAGAGTCCATCTCCTTTTTCAGAGCGTCCCTCTCCTTCTCAACTTTGTTGAGCTGAACCATCAGCCCGGTATTCTGAGTACCTAAAGCATCGTTCTCCTTGTTAGTTGCACCAAGGTTGTCAGAGAGTATACGAACTTTGGCATTTACCAGCTCAACCTGTTTCTGCATAGCCATCATCCCGTACAGAGTTTATAG